CACACAAGACGAGTCAATGGTTTGGTCTGACTTAGAATCTTTCGCTGTAGAATAAATATATTCGTGTCTCTATTGGAGAAATAATTGTATTCACTGGTTATAAAATAGGGTTAAAACAAACTCACAGAACAAAATTAATACCATCGGTCCCTTGATGTTCGTCCTAAAGAGGTTTGACTGGATATCATTCATACTCACCAAAGACATGTAACATTTTATTATTATGGAGTGCCTTGTTTATCTCTCAATACCTCCAACTATATATCCTTGCCCCTTACAATATCCTCAGGATCAGTGTAGTTGTTGGAACGAGGTGTCAGACTCAACAATGTATTTGTTTACATATTAATACATGTTTATTGTTCCTACTTTGCTGTGTTGTTTTAGACAATCGTGGACTTGTAACACTTTGAAGTCATTGAACTACATGTACTTCCAAAAGTTTTATCGACATCAACAGGATTACGATTTCAGTACAATAAGATGCAGGATGACCTTATCACGACAACCCATGACTACCATAAACACAGAATCAAGAAAAACATCTGCGGCACGTACCTGGTTACAATTCTCAAGTAAATGTGATTTAGGGTGTTATTATTATTATTATTATTATATTTATTTTACTAGGGTGTTTCCCACAGACCTATGGAAATCTGAATTTCCTGAAAGTCAAGACAATCTTATGATAGAGTCATGAAATTCTGAAACAGCAACATACCCAGAATGACCTGCGTATAAAAAAAAGTATCACCGCGTACCGCCACTACCCATATGATTCCCTGCAGAAGAACATGAATATGCAAGACTAGTGCCATTTTCTGCAAGAAAATGCTTGCACATTAATGCGTATAATACGGTATTGAATTTGATATGATGCACATGTACATGTAGAGGCGCTAGGCCATTATTTAGGGCATTCCATTGGTGACATAATTATTATCATAATATCAAGAGTGCATAAACATTTGTTTATGGACTCTTGATAAGGGGCCGTCCGGGGTTACCAATTGTTTTTACAAAACGAAAAGCTTTAGTATTTTTCAGCCCCCACCCACCCACCCACCTTTTCTGCAGGTAAAACGAATTTCAATAAAATATTGATGTCAATTTTCGAGACCCAGAAGTAACTGGGCATTCTCCATCAGCATTCAATAATTATTTTCAAAACGAAACTCCATCAAACCCACCCACCCACAAACGAAAACATTTCGTTTTGAAAATATTATTGGTAACCTTGGACGGCCCCTAATATCCTTAGCTAAAAAAACAAAAGAAATTATAGCAATAAAAACTGCTTTATGGCAGTTTTCTAAAAAAAAGTTATTGTGTTCTAGTCCATGGGCCCCGTCTAAAAAGTAAGAAATTAACGAAATGTGATAGCCGAAAATTAAAATTTCACACAAAACCTCACAATAATCACAGCACTTGAGGATCTTAGTTTTAAAAAAATACTGCTTTCAACACTTGTTTAGTCTGACACTTCACGGGTGACTTTTACTGCGCCAACATGCATGAATAGGAAAGAGGACCCAGAGAGGAAAAGGTCTTCTCGCTTTTCATCCTGTGTGTGATTATTGTGAGGTTTTGTGTGAAATTTTAATTTTCGGCTATCACATTTCGTTAATTTCTTACTTTTTAGACGGGGCCCATGGACTAGAACACAATAACTTTTTTTTAGAAAACTGCCATAAAGCAGTTTTTATTGCTATAATAGTCATTGACCTCGTCTATTCTCCGTACCGTATGCACCACAGTCTCATTTTCCGCCAAAGTAGGAGTTGTGCCCTGTTTGTATGTGTGACCACACACACGTGGTTTCGCTGGAGCGACACCAGGCTCACTGCCGCCGAACCTCGTCGCCGAAGCGAATCCCAGTGCATGTGTGACCGGGCCCTTAGCGGTGTATATGGAGATATATACACCACTAAGGGAGAGCATGCCTAAGTTACCCTTTGGGTAATCCTGAAATAAAGATTAAAAAGATTAAAAGACTGTAAGTACATGTACTTTAAAAGTCTTTAAGTGTATATGGAGTGAGGTATAATTATTAGTCATACCGGTACGCGGTATCTTCGCTAGCGCTGCGATTTTCAATTATTTTTCAAAGGCGGCGAGCTCGCGAGATTCATTTTTGTTGCAACTCCGCAGCATGACACTGGCAAAACTGGAACATCAAACAAGGCCTGTCATGTATACTCGTACTCGTAGCCGTAACTGCCTTTGACAGTTTGAGTAATGCACTAGCACTGGTCGTACTTGACCACTGCCTGGCACTGGCGCTTGACCACTGGCGCTTGAGTTTTGTACAGGTAGTACAGTTGTGAGGTATATTATGCTCGGCAGGCCGCGAAAGAGAGCCCGTTACCTGGACCCCTACTCGCGCGGGTAGAGCGAAACTGGGATGCGAGCAGCTTTTTAGTACTCCCGGGTCCAAAATCTCACCACCAGGCCGGGATGATCAAAACGTCTGCCGGGTCTGCAGCCTACAAACGTGGATCTGCCGACACTGTGCTGTCGACGACATGTCCGGCAAGGCACCTCCTTGCGTGAAAGCAAGGAACGCTTTTTTTTTAGAAAGGAAGCTTCTTCTCCAAAATTTAAAATTTTTGAAAATTATTCCTTCTGAAAATATCATCGCGTTCTTGACCTCGAAGCTGACTGCTGAATGCGATTAGGAAAGAAGATTCCTGAAGATACACCAGACTGATTCTGGCAAGCCGTCTGTCGTCTAGATATGCAGTTGTTCGTCATGCATGGTCAGCAATCTTCCTCGTTCGTCCTTTCGTTTTCCTGACCACGATGATGACAAGCAGCTCTCATGCTCAGGTTAGTGCTGTACTTGTATGTCTGGGCACACAACACATCTGAGATTCACCCACTGACGTTATCGAACTGAAGAATGCAGCAAGGGTTCCTCGGATTCTCTTGATTTCGGAACAAATTTCCTTCACTTTCACCCTCTCAGTCTCTTCCCCATGCCCTCAATGCATGCACAATGCAGCTTGCATTTCAATTGCTGTTTTTTTTATACTTTGGCAGTGCCTCTGCTACACTTTCATATAGAGTGAGGTCCTTTAAATAGGATCGAACATTGTTGGTGGTGGTGTGTGTGGGGGGGGGGGGGGGGGGTACGTTTGCAGCCAGGATGTAGGAATGACACTTCTGCACAGCAGGTGGCAATAGTCAAAACTGGTCACTCTACAAATCCCATACCTGCCAACCTTTGCAAACCTGAGATCCAATGACATACCTAGGCATGAAAATGTATACAAAAGAAGCTCGCGGTGAGGCATGGAACTAGTGCACTTTTGGGTGCCTATTACCGCCCTCGATATCGGGACGGTCCCGGCCAAATCGGGATGGTTGTCAGGTATGAAATCCCAACCGAGAAAACCATTTAATTAAAAGATAAACTCGGCCAGGACATAGCGACTTTCTGTTTGCCGGGGGGGGGGAGGGTCATCGTCCGCAATATTGGTAGAGTTACGATTACATTGTATATGTAGATACATGTGCATCAGGGATTCATAGCACCTGGGGAGACAACATGAGACCTAAGTACCCAAAACGTTGTGAGTTGTGACCCCGGATGGGGTAGTTCTACGTGATCTGTGTTTCTATAGACCTTATTCGATAACGTGATTTTTGGACTCGCCTCCAGGGATTTGTTGTAAGCTGGGGCACGCGTACGTGAAACGAGTGGCAAGAAAGGCCCAGTTCGTACAAGGGAGTAGTAAAATACCGGTATTTTTCTACTCCTATGTTCCCACGCCGAGTCCACTGTGCACTGAGTGCAGGTCTCTTGCCGCTCCCTGGTTCCCGGGACCCTGGTTCACGTGATTGTGACGTTTATTGAATAAGGTCTACATGTATATGCGGGCATGCATAAATCAACCCTTCCACAAGGACGGCTCAAACAGGCAGCCAAGGAGTGAAAATTTCGCTCCTGGGGCTAGGAGTGAAACGAAGGCCTCAATTTGCCAGATTTTGCCAATTTGCCAGATGAACCTTCTCCATCGAAACGAACGAAGGTGTCGAATAATTCTTTTACCAGTTCACAGTTGCCGTTCACGCGCACTCCCCGGGGTGGGGGGGGGCTACTATGCACTTGTAGTGATACTTACCGTAAGCCAAGTGGAACACGACTAGTTGACTGCACAGACTACAGTACAGTATACATGCACATGTATACAGTGAAGATCAGTGCGTGCATGCCTGCCATAATCGTATGTTGACCTTCGTTCGAATTGAAAAGAGAGGGTCGTTTCGAAAAAGAAAAAAAGCTCGATGGAAGTATGATGCTGCTGACAATTCAAGACTCACTGAAGTCGCCTTTCTGGAATGGATCATGCACTCTAGGTTCATCCAATTGGATATGGACTCAAATCATTGTTACACCATTATTGTTTGGTTAGTTATTGTACATCCCATAGCATGTACAATCAACCTTGTGAATAATCTACCTCGGGTTTACAAAACAACTCGCAAATAACGACACAATCTTCAGACCATAGATTTATACTTAATATTCTTTACAACAAGGATCGATGTGTTCCTTCGGATGCCCTTTATCGACTTTCACACACTTCTCCTCTCTCCTTTCGTCATAAGCACCATCTCTGTACACTGGTTCATAAAATATTTCTTCATAAAACCCCTTCACACATAATGAAGTACAATTGGTTTTCGACAAGCTCAACCCGTAACGCGCTTATCCTGCCTCTTGTTAAGTCAGCCCGGCATCTAAAGCCCCCCTTGTTTTCCGGTTATTCTCATTGGTTAACTGGGGACATGTCCAAAACCATACTAAGTACTTGAGCTGCTCATGAGCCCCACAATTATCAGGCCCGCCGGTCTGGTTGGTCAGGTTATCACCAGACCAACTTGTTGGCCACCAACAAACGTTTCCTACCGTGGAGGACGTGTGTACCCGCCATGAAACTACCGGACCAATCAAAAACTGCTTCCGGCGGTACTGATTATAGTACAGGTTTAAGTTAAAAAGCGGCTCCATTTTGTCATACATTAAACCAACTCTGTCATTGCTATGCTACTCAAAAAGAGTAGTGATGTTTATTCACAAATGAATCACAATGCTATCAGAGAAATTCGATATTCTCCAATTTTAGGGGCACTGCAATACTATCCAAAATTAATGCTGCATGGTCATTGTTATGAAGCAGTCACCTCAGTACAGCAATTAAACAGGCTGATTATGTGAACGAGATTCACGGCAAATCTTCTTCCATCAGTGCTGTTCAGTCTTGAGTGGTCCACTGAGACAGGAAAACAACCTGTTCGGTCCTTCCATACGAGAAACAGAAATTGAACATGTTCCAGGGTGGAGGTGGCGAGTATCGGCAATGTAATGCACCTTTAGGCCAACATGACCATCATTCCGACATGGATTCTCAAACACCTTCGCTCGTGAGAGTGCCTCAGAGTGGTATTCATCAACAGATGGCAATCCTGTAAAACACATGAAAAGACATAGCAGCAACAGAAAGAAACCTAATGTTATAGAAACGAATTCGAAAAACAAAGTCTACTATTATTCTAATACAGTGAACCAAGGTACAAGCACACTCCAGGAGGCAAGCAAAAGAGCATATAATCCGAAGGTTGCGATGCCTGTATGTATTGTATTTATGTATTTACGGATTCTCCACAGGCTAAATCGAGGGAGTCTTTGTCATGCCACACTGGATACAACATGCTACCAGAATCACTTTCCCCAGAATTGATGATCTTTTCTTAGGGTGTTATATAAGACACATCTGTAGCCACTTCATCTTGCTCACGAAATCATACACCACCACACAAACGGGTCCTTCGGCTATTATACTTTGGGTGGTACATGGTGATGTATGATATTGATAATCTATTGATACCATATTCAAGTCTGACTCTCACCGTGAGATCCTGGCAACAATATTACCTGGTACACGACATATTCAGACACTGACATAAGCATCTTTTTGGAACAACAGGTGTGCCTATCTGCTAGTGTAATGTGACACACATGCAGAACACATGCAGAATCAGTCATAGCTAATTTTACCCCCTCACTGTTGTATGCGCAGACTCCACTTCGCGGTGTCAAGTACTCTTCTTTCGGTGGGCTACTCCACTAAGGCGCTTGTCTAAAAGGACTCACATTCATCCTGCAAACCAACACGACTTGCATAGTTTTCACTGTCGGCCAAAGTGCGTGCATTGCACACATTGAGATTCACTCCCTCCGTACAGGCCAGTACAGAGCTGCCCACCAATTGAGTCTGTTTTGCGTACTCAAACTTCTGATTTTCCGTATCTTGCAGTGTTTTGCGTACTGCCGTGTACATTGCATGCATACTTGCACTGTAATGTTTTTTGACACGCACATGCATGTCGGTGGCTGCATTTGGTAGTGTAAAACATGTGTGACTTGCACTCACGACATTATTATTTTTGTGCTACATGTACATGTTGTTGTGGTACGGCATGCACTCGCTTTGGTACAAGACTATTCATCACTCAGCTTACACTTGCAATGCTTCTACACAGCTGATTGATCCTCTCCGATTTTCTATACCATTTGCTCAATTTCTGTAGTGCGCACAAGGAGTGATTTTCCGTACAAATACAGAAAATATGGAGGGCTGGTACTTGGTAGCACTGCTAGTATGGTAGTACCAGGCTAAGCTGGCTGGAAGATCAAATACTTCTTTGGTTCTTTCAGTCATTTTCACGACATATGTTTTCTTTATCATGATCCCCGGGGTGTGACATTCTTATGAATGCAGAAACTCAGTCTTTCTAACCGAGTCTCACGTGCAATGTGAATTTGTTCTTCTTTTCTTCACAATGCCATGTATCGATTCATCGCTTCTTCCCACCCGAGATCCTATGCAACAGCGATTTAAAGATTGGCTTTATCAAATAGTTAATTCAGAGAGAGAGGATCAGTTGTGGATGCTGTGACAGCATAGAGTGTAGATTGGTGTAAACATCATTTTGGTTATGTAATCTTGTTACCTTTTTTGCGTTTCCTCTAGTGGTTTTATTGCACTTGTATCTTGATGTTATTTCTAACACCTTTCTAGTTACAGTACTTAACTTCAGTTTCTTTGGTTGTATCCATAGTTCCGTTTTTTCCCACTGATGATAGGAACGAGAAAATCGATTCTGGGTTTTCAATAATATTTTTGTTATAAAATACACAGTAATACATGTCAAACAAGTAACGTAGTTGCGTGATGTCTGCGGCCTTCATCCTATTTGTAAGCTTTTTAATTATTATTATTATTAACTGGTTTTGAGGGAAAGAGACAAACGGGTTATTATTATTATTATTATTATTTTAAAACGAAGGTAAGTTATGGGTCGCAAGTATCCACGCAAACACACATCCAGTCATAATAAGGCACTTGTCATAAGTATCCGAACGTTTTCGGTCCCTTCTCATCAAGGATTATACAGGGAATGACTCAAGTTTGAAAGACTAAAACTTATATAGCGTAAAGATAATTAGATAACAACACTCGTGACAAGGTGGAAAATTATCAAGTTTAGCACGACACAAAACTCGAAGGAAAATAATAATAATGACAACAACATAGTGAGCAAATTAAGTTACATTGTTACCACCTCGACGAGGAGTAACACCAAACAATTGTAGCGACAACACATTTTCTTTCTGTACGCAAAGTTCAGGATCTAACTTACGGATATACAAAGCTTCTAACACAGCCAAATGCAACGCACATCTACCACGTGACAATATTGAGAAAACTTTATCACTGTACAACTCACGACAATTGGTACGGGCTGACAGATGTTGCTTGATTGACGAAGTGCGATTCTTAGCTCCATTGGGTGTTGTCTCTTCCAATGTCCCGTCATCTCGCCTCTTCGTTGCATCACCACTATCCGTCTCTTCGCGTTTCCGCGGCCTTCCACGTTTCTTGACACTAACCGTTGGGTGCGCGATACCCAGTGTCCTTTCAGCTACGTCTCCTCCATTGCGGATTTCTATTGAGCTTCTTACTCCAACTTGTCCGGTGTCCGATATTGAGGTTAGTTTTCGCGGTCTACCAAGTGCCACGTCTACATTCCGTGGGGGAGCTATACTCCAACGAAATCGAAGAGACATCTTGTGAAAGCGCTAGTTTATCGTGCACATAGAATATGTTCCCCTCATCTATTGCAGGACGAATTAGACAGACTGACATCAATATTTACGAACAACGGCTATCCAAAGGAATTTCTGGCCAAGCTAATCAACGAAAAGCCGGTGACAGACAAGCCTATCCAATTTGGACCTGACCGTTGCCCAGATCGACGGGTATGGTATTGTTTTAACTGCGAACTGGACAGAAGCAAAGAAGATGTGCACAGATCGTGGTAGCTTTTTGCTTGAAGATAATGAAATGAAAGATGACCATTGCGTGGCATCGGCCCTTAACAATTTCATAAAATATGCTGGTTCAGATGGAGTGTGGACTAACAAGGAGGATCATGGCGGGTGGTATGATGGAAGAACTGATACCATGCTTGTCCAGCAGGTTAGATATCATCCACACTACCATGTGCCTCGCTCGGTTGTATGCTTTGGTGAGTATTATCATTTCACCTTGTACATGTATACAGCATGTGATATGTAATCATTTCAGAGGTTCCACTTAACGTAATTACGTTAGCATAAAGCGTAATCGCTGTATGGATTGTTTTACGTACACTGCCTGCGAAGCCGTGTTCCGCCATACATAGTTTTGTATCACGTACATGTAGCTGCCCTTGGCAACTCCCAATGAGACAGTGTATGACCTAGGGGCGTAGCAGCCGGTCCGGCCGGTCCACTTTTTTTAAACAATGCCAAAGTGCCCCGAATGCAGGATTTTGCACCCTAATTTCGAAAAATTCCCGGGGACACTCCCCCCCCCCTCCTGCCGGACCACCTCCAACAACGGTGCTAAGCGCCTGGGAGAGAGTCATAAATGTATAACCCAGAGTCATAAATGTATAACCCAATCGACTCACGAAGCGCCTCGTTAGAAGAGCCCCATATACGTACTGTGCACTCCACTTGTGCCTGCCGGATGACACCGCCACCCGTTTCGGACTTTTTACTGTAGATGTTGACGTGAACAGGAGTCAGAGAACTAGGCCATTATCACACAACGTTCTCTGAACAGGAGTCAGAGAACTACTTCCTCCGCTAAGCAAAACTTCGTTGCGTTTTTATTGTTCTTGTCATGATATTTCTGTCGACATTAGACATACAATCATGTCATTGATCTATCCCCTACATAGGGTAGCTGAGTTGTCGTCCATTGTTCTGACAGGCTTTTGAACCTCCGAAAAGCGTGGAGTCCTTTGAAAAATCGGCGAAGCAGAACCGTTTATCGACAGGATGTCACCAGAACACAACCCCAGGCGCGCACGCATGACACCAAAGTGTGAAAATGAGAAACAGTTTGAAAAGCCGCGTGGCTCGAAGAAGTGTCCAGTAGCCGGCCAGCACTCAGACACTGCTGTACTAGCACGAGTCGATGGTGCGCATCCGCACACAACCAAAATCAATGCACTTGTGTTTGCAGCGCAGGGGAAATCAAAAGCGTTCAACATTCAGGTTGTCGTTCAGTCGGCCCAAAATCCTCATCTCAACGTCGACCACTTGGCATTATTTCACGGCCTGTAGACAGACGTGTCACTCGTGGCGAAGGAAACCAGAAAGGAGCTTCTGCAGGATGTGGAAACGTGCTAGCACTACTACACCGCTGCAAAGATGGGGAGCGTTTGTTTGGATCTGTATGGCTCCTTCCATGGCGTTCCGGAGAGTGGCAACAACTACCAGCGCCACCGTGGAGGTCGTCAAGCTCACAGTTCGAGCGAAGAACTTGGCGATCTCCACGATCAAAATATTCGTGTCTTGGAAACTTGTAAAGGCTGCGGAACAAAAGCTGGCAGCGCTGGCGGCGACAGTCAGCGAGGATGCAGACTCAATGTCATCAGGGAGTGAGTCGTCATCAGATTCAGACGGAGAGTGAAGCTGGATTGCTTTGAAACGAGCTGTGTGACATCTGTAAATAAATACTTGGTCCGCTAGGTTGTGCGTATCACACTGGGTTGTGCGTATCACACTGAGTTGTGTGTATCACGCTGGGTTGTATTCTCATTTACTTGAAACACTGTCAACCTGCGCTAGCTGATTAGGTCACGTGGGTTCCTGGCCGGTGTCTGTGCTACGTGGCGCAGTGTTGGATGGTGAGCCAAGGAAGTATTAAAATGAAACGACAGGGCACAAGTTATGCGTTTGAACTCAGATAGTGAGCCAAGGAAAAAAGGTTGTAGCATGGAACTTGTGGGCACAAGTTATGCGATTGAGTCCACCAACTAAACCAGACTTTGAACAGTCATGACGTGCACAATCTAGCACAAAACTGACAAGGGTTACAGAGACATTTCACGGCAAGAAAGTGAGCTTGGGCTCTGCTCCATAGCGCTCACCAACAGCCTTCACACTTGGAAGGTTCATCGATATTAGTGATAATTCCAGAGAGGGGAGGGTAAGCACCATCGAGCCAAACACATGTGACATTCCGGGGCACAGTGGAATGCTGGCTTGATACGATAACGGGACGGTAAGACTATTGGACAATACGGTCAAACCACAATTCAACGACGCTAAGCAACAACCACCCAACTTGGGAGGCTCAATTTTACCAAGGATAAGAAATGAAAGGAGAGCTTGATGAGGACGAATTGTAGCAAACCAAATTCTGATATCCTCCAGTACTGTACATGGTTCATGACTATGATATGATGGACAGACAGACAGACTACACTAACATGTACATGTACACTTGAATAGTGTCACACGATTATCGTTACCACGTATAGTTCATAACGGCTCGTCAGGTGTGGAGTTAGAACTCGGGATTGTGCGCCAAGAAAATATGTTAACTGATTTAGAACATGGAAAATGGCTTTCCTTCCATCCCCTCTTTGGAATTACCACCAATATCCATGAACCTTCCAAGTTGGAAGGCCGTTGGTTAGCGCCATCGAGCCAGGCTCCAGCCTACTTTCTTTATCAGTCTGGTGCTCACTTTTGTGCACGTCTGACTGTTCAAAATCCGGTTTAGTTTGTGAACAGAGAAAGGTAGCTTTCAATTAAAAGAGATCAATAATTCATCGGACAGATTTCTTATCAATTTTTTTCACGTCACTGAGCCTGGGCCACAAATTTCTTTGGCCTACTTATCAAGCTTTAGTGG